AGGTACAGCTAAAAGGTTGTTTATCATGGTACTGTTTATAATTATGAAAATTTGGAAAGAAATCCAAAGTCCAAAGATAGCGAATTGGCTTTAATAATTATAACATCTTCATTAAATGAAATAAAAGGCAGCATTAAAAATGTAGAAAAATATATGGTGACATTGAAAGTGTTAATGTTATAAAACAATGTGTGTGAAATAATGTATTTTATACCCAAAATTCTTAGAAAAAGGATTGTAAAGGTTTACATGAAGATGTTAATGGTGTTTACCTCTATAGAGAATATAAGTTTTTTTTTTAAAGATTTTATTTATTTATTTGAGAGAGAGAATGAGAGAGAGAGAGAGAGAGAGAGAGAGAGAGCGAGCATGAGAGGGGGAGGGGCAGAGGGAGAAGCAGTCTCCCCGCCAAGCAGGGAGCCCGATGCAGGACTCGATCCAGGGACTCCAGGATCATGACCTGAGCTGAAGGCAGTCGCTTAACCAACTGAGCCACCCAGGCGCCCTGTAGATAATATAATAGGGTGGTTTTTCCTTTCCGTTTTCTCTAATAAGTACGCATTAATTTTAACATAAGAAAAAAAAGTTATAAAAACAACCAAAAAACAAGCCACGGGTTTCCCACTTGAGTTTGAAGTAGTCTCAATGAATATCATAGTTAAAGTTCCTTAGTGTGACTAAACTAGCCCTCCTAAACAATATTTAAAACATGAAAGTCAAATTAGCAAATTAAACATAGCATTTGTACCACTCCTAGAAGGTCAACAAAGCCATTATCTAAAGAACCAAAACAGGACATGAATTCCTGAAACAAGATTCCAGAAACAAGAATCACAGTCTGGAAATATCCTGACCTTAGCTGCCCAAAGTCTAGATTGGAGGAATGGATGTCTACAATTTACTAAGACTATATGACAACCCAGTGACTGAGGGTAGCAGCCCTTGAGCAGCGACATCAAAACTACTCTTTTAAATTCTGTTGTTGCTACTGCAAGTTGAATGCAAGGTGTCACATTTAGTAAACAACCAGAGCTGTGTGAAGTGACCCATTAACTTGATCAGAGCCAAAAACAAAACAAAACAGAACACCACCACCAAAAAACTTAAGCATCAAAGGGGGAATAATGAACTCTGAAAAGTAGCAAAACGCAATGAGGTTTCAGAGCATTGTGGTCAGAACTCTGGAGTCAGATTACCAGGGTCCACATCCTGATTTTGCCAATTAGTATTTCTGTGATCTTTGGTAAGTGATTAACTTTTATTTATTTATTTATTTATTTTTTAAGATTTTATTTATTTGACAGAGACAGAAACAGTGAGAAAGGGAACACAAGCAGGGAGAGGGTCAGAGGGAGAAGCAGGCTCCTCACGGAGTAAGGAGCCTGATGTGGGACTCAATCCCAACACCCTGGGATCACGACCTGAGCCGAAGGCAGATGCTTAACGACTGAGCCACCCAGGTGCCCGTGATTAACTTTTATATGCCTCATATTCCTTATTTGTGAGATGGGGAAAGTAAGAATACCTACTTCATGAGGTTGTAATGAGGATTAAATGAATTAACGTAAAACATTTACAGTAGTGGGGCAGGAATGGCACAGTCGGTTGGGCATCTGACTCTTGGTTTCGGCTCAAGTCGTGGCCTTGGGGTCATGGGATTGAGCCCCATGTGGGGCTCCGTGCTCAGTGCAGAGTCTGCTTGAGATTCTCTCTCCCTCTGCTCATCCCCCACCCGCTCTCTCTTTTTCTGGAATAAATAAATCTTAAAAAAAAAAAAGAACACTTAGAGTAGTACTTGGCACATAGTAAGTGCCATGGAACTGTTAGCTAAAAGTATCCTGGAAGTGTTACTATTACTGTTATATATCTAATTGGAGTTTCAGAAGGAGAGGAGAGAGAGAAGAGTAGTGACACTATTGGAAGAGATAATAACTAAAATTTTCAGGAACTGAAGAAAGACAACAACCTTGAGGTTCAGGTTACCCAATAAATTCCAAGCAGTTTTCCCAAAAAGAAATCCATACCACTTACTCATTTCCGTTTCCATTCTCTGCATACAGAAAGGCAAACACATATTAAAACAACCAAAGAAAACAGAAAAATCGTCTTCAGTGAAATGAAGCTCATTTCTCAACAGCAACTAGAAAACAAAAGACAATGGAATATCTTCAATGTGCTGAAAATATTTTTTAAGATTTATTTATTTATTTGAGAATCTTCCTTCCAAAGAAGGGGAAAAAAGAATGAAGAAAGGTGATCAGAGCATAAGGGGCTTGTGAGACACCATCAAGTGGACCAAATACATATTAAGGAAATCCCTGAACAAGGAGAAAGAGAGAAAGGGATAGAGAAATTATCTGAAGATATAATGGCTGGGAATATGCAGGTTTAGAAGAGGGAGTTGAAGAACCAGAGAAGGAGTCACCAACTGATTTGAGAAGCTAAGCACATCCAACTCCTGAGGTGAGCCTGACAAAATCAGTTGATCTGGGTAGCTACACCTCTGTGGGGGTCACAGCTAATTGTCTAGTGGCCTCTGTTGGTTGACAGGGTTTGCAAATAGCAAGAACAGTTGAATGCAAACCATAGGACCATCAGGAGAAGCTGGAACCCTCTGCACTTGTCCATCACCACATCTAAGAAGAGGCTCACAGTGCAATGGCTACTGCTTCACTTCTACCTTACAAATCTTATGCAAACTCTTCTTTTGAGAAACTCTAATCTGAAGGCATATAGGAATATGAATTCTACAAATCATAGTTCCAACTTAATTGAGTGGATCCAGTACAAATGATCACATCCTTCAAATCTTCGCTCAACTGTCACTTTCCCAATTTTGCCTATTCTGACCATCCTATTTTAAATTGCAACTCATCTCACCTCCTTTGCAGGCCAACCGTTCCTACATGGCCTTTAAATGGTGGTGTTCCGGAGAGTATTATTCTTGGCACTCTACCCTCACTCACCACACTCTTCCTGGGAAATCTCATCTGTACTCATAGATCCAATTACCAACCATACACTGATGATTACAACGCTTTATCTCCAGATCAGAACTCTGTGCACTGGGTCCTTATTACCAAAGAATAACTAGACAGCTCAGCCTGCGTATTTGTAAACTCATGGTGTTCAAAACTTTCCCCTCTCCCCACACGAGGTCCTCTTCTTCATCTTCTTCTGTTTCCACACTTGACGAATAACACTTCCAACCACTTAAGCAAGAAACATGAAGTCACACTAGGCTCTTTCGTCTTCTTTACTCCAATCTCTTCCCATTGACCACTAAGTCCTGTGGATTCTTAAACTTAATATATCTCAAGTATGTTTCCTCTTTTCCATCTCCAATGCTGCAACCCTAGTCCAGGACTTACTTATATTTCTGCAAAAGTCTCATACAAGTCTTTGCTCTTCAAGTCAAAATACCCACTACTGTGGATATTTTAAGTAATAATTCTAACAGGGATATCTGATATGTCATTCCTTTGCTCTAATTCCTTTAATGGTTCCTCCAACACTTTCAGAAAAAAAAAAAAAGCTAATCCTTTGAACAGCATGCAAGATTATTAATGATCTCTTTTTTTAAGATTTTATTTATTTATTTGACAGAGAGAGAGAGACAGTGAAGGAGGGAACACAAGCAAGGGGAGTGGGAGAGGGAGAAGCAGGTTTCCTGTGGAGCAGGGAGCCCAATGCGGGGCTCAATCCCAGGACTCTGGGATCATGACCTGAGCCGAAGGCAGATGCTTAACGACTGAGCCACCCAGGCACCCCAATCTCTTCTTTTTTAAAAAACATTTTGTTTGCCAGAGAGAGAGAGAGTGAGAGCAAGCGCACAAGCAGGGGGAGCAGCAGGCAGAGGGAGAAGCAGGTTCCCCGCTGAGCTGGTAGCCTGATGCAGGACTGGATCCCAGAACCCTGGGATCATGACCTGAGCTGATGGCAGACCCTTAACCCACTGACCCAGCCAGGCGTCCCTAATGATCTCTTCTTTACCTATTCATGCATTCTCATCTGTAGCCATTTTCTCCCATGAGACTTAAGCTCCAAGAAAACTAATGACTTCGTTTCCCAAGTCCATTAAATGATCTCTAGAATGTTACCACCCAAGCTGACAGCCCCCCACACCTCTTTGCCCGGAATTTTTTACCCATCCTTTAGGTACCAAATTAATTGTTACCTCCTATGCAAAAAATTTCAATATTCCCTTTTACTCATTGATGGCCATGCCAGGCCTTCCCATTGCTCTACTGCTGATCCATCTCTCCCAAGTCTGTCTCATGTTTTACCCTCAAACCCTCTCCCTCCAGATTGAAAGCCAGTCATGTAGCTTGGATATTAAATTTAAGTATATTTATTTGAACATTTAAAAACGTAGATGGGTCTGTAAACTTGGTTAAGTTTATCAACAGACAGGGCCTTGTAGTGAAAAGAACATTGGACTAGTAGTCAGAGTACCATCCTTCTCGGCCTTTTGGCTAAGATCAAGTGCAGAGTACCATCCTAATTCTGTTCCTTCCTTACCTTTTCTGATCTCAGTTGTCTCCCTCATAATGGCTAGACTACAGCCCTAGTTCTGGGTGGCAATTTACAACTTATCTGCTTTTTTATTATCCAATCCAACCTCATTCCTTTCACAGGTGACTCTCGGAGCCGCTATAGAATTTACTCAAAATCCCATTACAATTAGTCAATGACTAAAAGCAAAGCAATCTTGGTATCCTAGACCAGAGCTGACCTCTAGGAACATTCCTAGTTCTAAAATTCTGTAACCCATCCAGTTAACAAAAACGCTGGAAACAAGTAAAGACAAGCCACAAGCGAAGAGCCGTAGAGTAAACAATAGCAGCCAAGAAGTCAGAAGCCTAGAGGTTCCAAGAATTAGCAGTGAACTTCCCGTCCTTGGGTCAACTTCCGGAATCAACAACAGGGAGATCCAATCGGAACCTTTCTCCCGGGAGCCAATGGGAGAGCACATTACAAAGAGCCAATCCAAGGGCCGCTGTCACTGTTATGGTGCTGTCAGGGCGCCGGCGTCGTGGTGCTTGGGCGGTCGCCACCTAAAGGACTTCGGCGGGGCAGTCTCGGGGGCAGCTCGTCTCCGGCCTCGCTCCCAGCCTGCTCCTCCCGGCTCGCGGGCCTCACCGGAAGGCGCGCGTGCGGGCCGGTGCCGCGGCCGCCTTGGGGCCTAGGCCCAGCCGCAGAGGGGCCGCGAGATGCAGCCGCCGGGCCCGCCCCCGGCGTATTCCCCTACGAACGGGGACTTCACCTTTGTCTCTTCGGCAGACGCGGAAGGTGAGGCTGAGCCCCGGGAGGGCCCGTGCCGCCGGGGGACGCGGGGTCCGACGCGGCGGGCTCTTTCTCCGCTGAGGCGGTTGCGGCCGGGTGGGGACCGGCGGGAAGCTGACTGGGGACCGGAGCCCTCTGCGCCTGCCCGGCCTTCCGAGAGGGCCTGAGTGGCCGGCGGAGGGCTGTGGGGGGCGTCCCAAATTACTCGTTTGGCTCCCGGCTCGCCCCGCACCTCAAGTGGGCCCACGAAACAGTAAGATTTTACTTCTGCAGGGACTTGTTGTTACTCAAAAAAGGGGTGGTTAGATTGGCCAGGGTAGGTGTCAGAGAATGAAAACAAGGTAAGGGAGCTGTGTTCCTCTTTTATTTATCGATAACTATGCTGGAATTAGATTGGGTACTGCGAACACACACTTTCCTCCGGGAGTCCGTGGGGTTTTTTGTTTTGTTTTGTTTTTATGGTCTCTGATTCTTGAGGACGTCCCAGTTTTCCTCCTGTCTTACAGTGTTTGACCTCAATATTCAGAGAAGTGGGCCCAAGTATGTTTGAAACTTCTTGTAATACAGATGGATTGTTCCCAAAGGCTTGTACTTATTTCCTCGTCCTGTTGTGAGGGAGCAGTTTTGCCGGAGAGAGTTTTCTTTTTCTCTGTCACAGGAAAGTTTGTTTTCCTCCTTGTCTCTGTTCCTCACCAGACACTTTGTAACCCGAATCTTTCTCTGCTAGTCAGTTTCAAATTTTACTTTCATTAGACTATGTACACCGGATTTACTCCCCGAAAATAAAAAAAATAAATTATGCCGGGGGCTCCTGGGTGGCTCAGTCGTTAAATGTCTGCCTTCGGCTCAGGTCATGGTCCCGGGGTCCTGGGATCGAGCCCCGCATGGGCTCCCTGCTCAGGGGGAAGCCGGCTTCTCCCTTTCCCACTCCCCCTGCTTGTGTTCCTGCTCTCACTAGCTCTCTCTCTCTGTCAAATAAATAAATAAAATCTTCTTAAAAAATAAATTATGCCTAAAGCTGTAGAAATTTCAGTCTAGAGAAGAACAACCTAGCGTTTGCCCAGAAATCTGGTTTTAGAGTGCATCAGTTAGTATAGCTTGTTTTCCTTTGTTTTGTTTTCCTTGTTTTGATTTCTGAGTGGCATTGTTTAAAAAAACCAATATTGCACTGTATGTTAACTACCTAAAATTTAAATTTAAAATAAGATAAGGGGCGCCTGGGTGGCTCAGTCGTTAAGCGTCTGCCTTCGGCTCAGGTCATGATCCCAGGGTCCTGGGATCGAGTCCCACATCGGGCTCCCTCCTCGGGGGGGAAGCCTGCTTCTCCCTCTCCCCCTCCCCCTGCTTGTGTTCCTGCTCTCGCTATCTCTGTCTCTGTCAAATAAATAAATAAAATCTTTAAAAAATAAAATAAAATAAAATAAAATAAGATAAAAAAATAGTACAGTTTTGGTTATAATTTAAAACGGAAAATAAAATTTTTATTTATCATAGAGAACATAGCGGATACTTTTATTTTACTTCTTTTTTCTAAACTTTTTAAGAAGATTTCATTTATTTGAGAGAGAGCGAGCATGCACAAGCAGGGGGAGAGGGAGAAGCAGACTTCCCACTGAGCAGGGAGCCCAGTGAGGGGCTGGATCCCAGGACCCTGGGATCATGACCTGGGCCAAAGGCAGGCACTTAGCCCACTGAACCATTCAGGCTCCCCTGATATGTTTATTTTAAACTTAATATGAATATTTGGTGAACTATAGCAACCCAAAGTATTTCAATTTGTTTAATCTAAACTTGGTAGCATAGTGTTTTGGGAGGAATATAAACTTTAATTTACCAGACTTTTAAAAAAATTGTCTTATCATTGTTCAAACGCAGGTATCTATGTGTATATGTTTCTTATCCACCACGTCAGTCCCCTCCCAAATAACCTTTCTTAAGTACACCTAAGAAACCTAACAGAATGGTACAACAAGCTAACCCATTGATTCCGTATACTAAACCAAGAAACCTGGAATAAGTAAACCTAACCCAACAGACATAAGGTTTATTCAAACTTCTCCATTTAGCTTCTAAATGCACAAGCAAGGGAAGCTTCTAATACAGACTCCCTGTATATCCGAAGAGGTATAGACAAAGATAGATTATATGTATAACAATACCCTCAAGTGTATGACATTGTACTTTTTAAATTTACAGAGTATTTTAAGTAAACGGCTTGTTTGGTCTTTATAAGAATTCTGCTGAGCGGGGCCCTGGGAGGCTCAGTCATGGGATCGAGCCCCGCATCGGGCTCCCTGCTCAGCGGGAAGCCTGCTTCTCCGTCTCCCACTCCCCCTGCCTGTGTTCCTGCTCCCGCTGTCTCTCTCTCTGTCAAATAAATAAAATCTTTTTAAAATAATAATAAAAAAAAAGAATTCTGCTGAGCATCATTTTTCTTGTATTTTATAATGAAAATGAGGCTTCGAGAAGTTCATTAACCTCCACGTGAAGGATCTGAATTAAGAGCTAATCAGAATTATTGCCATGAAATTGTGATGATTCTTATATTTTTGCAGATTGAATAGTGTATCTGAAGTACAGTGTTAAGAGTCCTGGGTTTGCATCCTGGCTTTGCCAGTTACCATCTATGTGATATTGCCCAAATTACTTAGCCTCTCATCTTCAGTTTTCTCATATACGAAATGGGAATGAATACACAAGTGCTTAAATATCTTGCAAATGCAGAGTACTTAGTACTTCTTCCGGCAGAGTTAAGAGCTTGGTACAGGTTAGCATGCTGCTGCTCTCAGTTTTCACTGTTAACTGGCTCCACGCTTAGGTTTTATGGTTCTCTACCATGAGAATTTGACTGTGCAACTCTGAGTCTTTTCTCTGATTCCTAAGCATGTCATGTAAATTCTTTCCTCTCCCTTTTGCGGTTTTACCCTAACCATGAGTGTTTTCAGTGTATATTTTCCTTCTAGATTCTGTCCAGGTCTCACTTAATGATACCTATCTGTACTGTTTGTACATACACATCCTTTGTTCTAAAATGTGCCTTGGTGTCTTGTCTCCACACCTATGTATATCCTGGTCCTCATGCTTAGAATGCCTTTCTCCTCCTCACCTGGAGTTGAGACTTAAGACTGAACTGGAATGCTCCTTCCTTGGTGAAACCTTGCTTAACTGTCCCTTAGGAACAGAATTTCCTGATCTTTTCTATACCCCAGCACTTACACAGAACCCAGTATATAAACATCACAAAATAATTGTTGAAGGAATAAATGATTTCTGCTTTTATTTCTTATGACATTGATATTTGGGACTATAAAACAGCACATGGGTATAACTAAAAAATTAACTGGTTGTAGAGCCAGCAGACTTCAGTTAAAGTCCTGAGTCTTATAGTAGCTATGTGATATCAGGCAGGTTACACAGCTTCTATAATCTTCTGTTTTGTCACCTATAAAATGGAAAGCAGGGGCGCCTGACTGCCTTAGTTCATAGAGCATGCAACTCTTGATCTTGGGGTTGTGAGTTTGAGTTCCATGTTGGGTATAGAGATTACTTATTTAAAAAAGAATGTTAAAAGTGGGGTGCCTGGGTGGCTCAGCTGGTTGTGTCTGACTTTTGATTTTGGTCCGGATCGTGATCTCAGGGTCTTGGGATTGTTGGGCTGTGTGCTTGCGCATGCTGTCATGCTTGCTGTCTCTCTAAAATAAATAAATAAATCTTAAAAAATTTTTAAAATGAAAAAAAAATTTTTTAGAGATTTTCTTTATTTGACAGAGCACAAGCAAGGGAAGCAGCAGAGGGAGAGGGAAAAGCAGGGGGCTCAGCAGGGAGCCCGATGTGGGGCTTAATCCCAGTACCCTAAGATCATGACCTGAGGCGAAGGCAGACGCTCAATGAGCTGAGCCACCCAGGTGCCCCAAAAATGAAAAAAAATTTTTTTAAATGAAAAGTGCACATAATATTATGAGGTATTTAAGATAATGTGTATAGGGGCACCTGGGTGGCTGGCTCAATCTGTTAAGCATCTGCCTTTGGCTCAGGTCATGTGGAAGGAACCCCACATTGGGCTCCCCTGCTCAGCGGGAAGCCTGCTTCTCCCTCTCTCACTCCCCCTGTTTGTGTTTCCTCTCTGGCTGTCTCTCTGTCAAATGAATAAATAAAATCTTAAAAAAAAAAAGATAATTTATATAAAATCAAGTTCCATAAGTACAAGTTAAAAGAACATGAGCTATGTGTGACTAAGCCAATAAATGAATAAATAAATGAATAGTAAAATCCAGGCTGAATATTCAAGTCGATAGTGTAAAACTATATCCGAAAGCAGAAATGAAATGCATGTATGTAAATGCAAGAATGTAATGACATATATATGTAAAGTGTAGTATAGAAGTCTTCAAGGATCCTTTGACTTTATTTTGTATCAGATAAGTAAGTAATTCTTTGCCTGGTTTATGTCCTGGGCACTTAGTAATAGAGAATCTGCCTTAATCATAATTTGCATTTTAACAAGATCCCGCTGTGATTCATATGCATATTAAAGCTTGAGAAGCACTGATTTAGAATGTTATATAAATGATTAGAAGAGGAGGAAATTTTTTCTAGCTGTAAGATCAGGGACGGTTTAGTGGAGCTATTTTGCCAAACTTTGAAGGATAGATAATGTTTTATATATAGGATGGACTAAGTACCTCCATGTACAAGGGTCTGCATATGAAGAAGCCGCTGACCCCAAGAAATGGTCTAATAAGAGAGATACATTTCATTGTACATAATAAATGGTATAAAAAGTATGGTTCAAAGGAGGAAGTGATTAACTGCAGGAAGGATGAAGGAGGTCTTTAGGAACAGACGAGATATATTTTGAAGGATAAGTAGGAGTTTTCCAGTTGAAAAGGGGGAAGAACATTCACTTAAGAACTGTGCAAGTACAATACTGGTGGAGGCTGTCCCTTGGTTGTACAATCACCACCACTGTCTAACCCTAGAACATTTCATCACTCCAAAAAAAGCAA